AGAGAGTTCTTGGGTGAAAATTACACTATATGAGAAATGGAAAATACTCACCCCAAACCAGTCCCATTTTCTCTAAACAGACACGCACAGCCCCAGAACCCACCCCTGCCCCTCTTTTCCTGGATAACGCTGCTATTACTGCAGTTTCTCAACAATAGTTTGCTTCTAGTACAAGAAGTGCATTTCCAGTGACAACAGTAGACTTGAAGATGTGTCCAGCAGCTCCACTGGGCAGTAACTGTGTACTCAGGAGGTGTCTTGGAACTGGAACAAGCACATCTGCAAACACAGGTGCCAGGTGTTTGATGGGGGCGTGACGCCTGGCGTGTCCCTGTGTGAGATGTGCCCCTGCTGCCAGATGCTGTGGTGCTTTCTGGAACAGGGCTGGAACTTTGGCTCTCTGCCTGCTGTGGACTCCCATTCACTGCATTCCATGGTGTGATCTTTATCCCAGTCCTCCTCAGAGATGAGTACTGGGTAGCAATGTATGCAGAAATACAAGCCTGAAGCCTTTACAATCTGTTTAGGCCTCGATTACATCAATTAGTCTTCCCTATACTATTTGAGGCTGTAAAAAGTCTCAAGCAGTATTTCATTGTCTGTCTGTTTGTGTCTGTATAGATAATGATGGCCAGAAAAACAATAAAGGGAAACATATGCTTTGTACTGGAATTTTATCTGTTGCATATTATGGCAAAATGGTGTCTTGGTGAACATACTGCTCTGGTGATGAACTTTCATTTCATTAAATGAAATGCACCATATGGTGCAAAATGCTGCTGCTGCTGTACTTGTTTGTTTTGAATATACTTATATCCTCTTCTTTTTGATACTGTGTGAGGGTGGGAAAAGTATTGTTGGTTAATATAAAATTTCTAATTTATAATGCTAGATCTGCATTGTAGTGGATAAATGTTTGCATCCATAAATAATTAAGCTTACAGTTTTTCTTGGGAATGAATTATATCTTAATATTTACATCTGTAACTTTGCATTTGCAAGGACAAACATGAATGCTAAGCTGAAGGTTGCCTGAAAATCTGGTCTTGCATATTCTATGAAAAATATTACTCACATTTCTCACAGGTGAATAAACTGCACGCCTGGATGAATCTAGTTAATTCAATGGTTTAATAAACCTAGAATCCCAATGAGGTTATAACAAATCCCCCCGGCATCTCGGAGTTATGAGAAAGATGTATAAAATTATATGCAAGCATAAGAGTTTTTTCTAAATTTGAGGAGTCTTTTGCACATTATTTTTTTGTTCTGTTCACTACATGAAATAACTTCTCGTGGCTCTGTCATGATAAAGTATTAGATCAATTATATTTTGAGGGCAATATCTGGGGTCAGTTTGCATCATTTTTTTTTTTTTTCCATTTGGATATTTTTTTTTTGGAAACAATTACATAGCACGAAATCAGATGCCTCTCTTTTAATTTCCCTGTGAGAAAGATGGCTGGCGTGAAATGGAAATTTCTGCAGTTCTCTTGTTAGGGAGCAGCACCTTGTCATAAGATGCCCCATTTTTACGTGTTAAATACATGTGGATCCTGGATCAGAACCAATTCTCTAGGTAAAAACACAGAAATAGCAAGTTGACTGGGACTGATTGATTTAGCACAGCAGCTGGAATGAATATAACTAAATAAATCTTGAATATGTATATAACTGAATAAATCTTGAATATATCTTAAATAAATATTTGAATAAATCTAAATTACTACATGATGAATGCTTTTTTAGGGTCACTGTACTCTGAACTATAATCTGGACAACTAAGCAATCTAAAGCCTGGTCAGTTCTTGGATGAGAAACCTTCTAGGAAAGAAGTATCAGACAGAAAATTATAATTCCATAGTGGGTTTCTTTTGCTATGTTTTGATACAGAAGCAAAATCCTAGGCTAGGGACTGGGTTGGCCTTTTTCAGTATCATGAATGTGTTGTTATTTTACAGGCATTCACAGGGAGAGGATACCCATTCCAAGAAACCTCAATATGTTGGAAGGGGTCTATATTTTCTGGTGAAAAATAAAGCAGATGCTGCAACTGCATGTTATCATGGAGAGATCCTATGCATGCTCAGGAAAAGGAATCTGTTGTTCTTCACAGCTTCTGAAACAGGGAACAAGTTCTGCCTTCATTTTACACTGAGTTGAGTAAAAAATTGCAGGTAAAGTAATGCTAAGTGCTGTAAATCTCTCACAAAGATGCACACATAATTTTAGAAATATACTTGGAATACAGTAGCAGAAACTTACACTCAAATTTTCATTTAGTAAAGTTCTGTGGAGTTCAGAGGAAAAAATAATGAAGCTGAAGAAAAGCACGATTGATAAAAAAACTTTCCACTGAATGTATTCCTGCATAAAACTGTAATTTTATTAATAGGTGATGGAAGATAAAATGCACAAAATGGTAGCTAAAGATGTGGAAAGCCATATACTCTGCCCTGGTTAAGAGGATCCCAAGTATATGAAATTGAAATGTAGCTGAGTTGATTGTGATCTTATATTCATTATACTTCACTGCTGGCAGAATCCCTTCTAAGCAAATGAGCATAACATGCTTACTTAGCACTTTCACAAAGCCTTGCATTTATAATCACAATTAAAGCACTTCTTTTGCAATAATTACACAATCTGAATTGGTCTGTGGTAATATAAGAAAACTTTAATTCCACATTTTAATATCAGAAATCCGCTTAGTTATGGGTAGTCTCCAGCTCTGTAGTATGTCACCTGTATTAGCATTCATATTCCTCATTGAGTCTTCTCAGTGTACTCTTCTGTTTATTTAATGAACATACTTCTAAAATATACCTGCAATCTCATGTAGGCCACGGCTGGCAACCAGCAAAGCTCTTCATTTCTCTCTGTGTTATCTTATTTAGCCCACAAACGAGTGCAAGTGTGAACAGCAAGCTTTCTACATGATGGAGGGTCAGGGTGACAGCCTGAAGAGGCAGCAGCTTGATGTCATCAGCATCTTCAGAGTATCCTTTTAGAATCCTATTTCTTTTTAGAAATGAAGACCTGGTTTCCCTACCCACTTCTGGAGGCTGGGTACTGTCCTGCAAAACTTGCTTCCTCAGCGGAAAGAGGTTTTCCAAGAAAGCAGTGCCCTAAATTCTGCTGTTCACCGTTTGAAAGAGGCAGCCAGGTAGAATTTATTTCTCTCAGGATTTTTTCTTTTGCTGATTAATTGTTTTCCACACTAGGCTATTATGTTGGTAAAATATTTATAACCATTATGATGAAAATTGCTAGGAAATGAATTCACATAGTCCTGCTACCTTTAGATTTTTTTTTTTCCCCAGGACTTTGAAACACTGCTGTGGTTTTGGCTTGCCTCTCTAGTCTTCCTATTCTTTTCTGTCACACTCAGTAATTGGCCTAATAAAAGGCAGTAACGAGAATTTATTACACCTTGGGTGATACTTGAAACAAACTTTATTTGCTGGAGCAGCACTTTTTATCTACTCGCTGCTGTATATTTTGACAGTCCTTCTAAATATTAAATCTGATTTTATTAAAAGTTAAATCTTGGTGCTTTTTTGTGATTGCTGCTGTTTTTGCAGTTTCTTAAGCAGACTAGTACATATATAAACATACCTTTTTAATGAAGCTTTTGGAGAAATAATGTAAGCTGTGGCTCTATCTGCTTATTGCCAGAATCACAAAAAAGGTATGAATTAAAGACAGGCTTCTATGATACCTTGTAATTTAGTTTTGGAATAATGCATGTGATTAATTGAGAGAACAAAGATGAGAACTGTTCAACTTTTCATACCTTTTTCAAGATTGGGATTTGATGAAATCTTCCTTGAGCAAATGATGCCCTCAACATTTTAAGTTCACAAAGTGAGAGCAGTAAAATTAAAGCCAGGTTAGATTGTTATAATTTCCACTTTGGAATCTGTGTTTCTTCCAGATACTGAACGGTAAAACCATAAACTTTTTTTCTTTGTTTTCTAAAAAGGCCTTAAGAAATAGCAATAAGTCATCCTGGAACTGTTTATGCAGGAATTTTTATTCTTTGAAATCTTCCAGTGTTAAAGCAACAAGAAAACATTTATAATGTCCTTTGGTGGAATCTTATTACACTTGTTATATATGTAAACTGATATTCTTTGATGCCAGCACGTTGCCCATACAGAGAAATCTCTGCACAATTAAATGAAAGGAAAAAGAAAAGGACTAAATAAAAAGTAATATTTTTCTCTTACCTGATTAGAATTAAATACATTAATAAATTGTCTGGTAACACAAATAGGCAATAATACAAAAAATCTACATTGTACATTATTTCAAGAAAAATAACTTCATTTGAATACAAAAGGATAAATACACTTTTTGTCCTATAGCCACTCTTGTACAGTAAGTGAACACAGCATCTTACTGATGCAGTGCTGCTAAGGTATACAAGGATATGACTGGCTTGAGTTTTATTGAGGGGGCTGTTACACATGTGCATCACTAACATCAGACAAAGAAATCTTTCAACCAACAAGGGTTACAGAGCAACGTTCACTAAAGCACAGGTTGGAAAGGATTTGGGGACTGAAGCAGGCCAATATGGCAGCTTTTACAGATTTCCTTATACCCACAATGCACTGACAGCAAAGAATGCCTTGGTTTGGTCAGTCCACACACCGGGCGGAGGTACGGGAGCGCACCAGAGAGGAGTAGCGAATGTTGTGGGAATTCCCTTCCCGTTCCGGGGGCTGTCAAAGCCATGTCAGTCCCGCAGCCTGCACCGATTGATTTGACAGAGCAGGCAGCTGCCAGCGTGTGTCGAGTCAGAGGAACGCTCTTGACGCGCAGCCCTGTCCGTGACTGAGTGATATGGCTTAGTTCAGTTCGGCCTTCTTAGTTTGTATGTGGTTATTTTTACTCTTTTCCTTTAGGGATTCCAGCGGCGAACGCCTGGGCTGTGTCCCGTTTCCATGCGGCACGTTGCCATGCACAGTCCGCGTGTGAGGCCGGGCGCGGCCTCAGCAGGCGCGGAGCGCCCAGGCCGCGAGCAGCGCGGGCAGCAGCGGCCCCGGCCCCGGCAGGCCCCGGGCCGAGCTCTGGCCGCAGCCGCCCGGCTCCCGCTCGCACTTGAGCTTCTCGCACAGGATGCCCGTGTAGGCCGGGGGACACTGGCACCGCACGTTGTTGATGCAGGTTCCCCCGTTCTGGCAGTGCAGGAGTTCATTGTCACACACGTTTGCTGCAAGATAGCAGGGAGAGGGGGGGAGAGAAGAGACATTAAATGTAAGTTCATCTACGGCAGAAATGCACTAAAACCAGAACTGAAACTCCACCTCCCTCCGCTTCCTGAGGAGCGTATGAAAAGGGGCTGTGCTTTCTCAAATACTCGGATTTTTATTTCTTTATTTCTTTATTTTTCCTTAAGGCTGTATTCTTGGAAAACCATGTAATTCACTTTTAACACCACCAACTATGGTATTGATTAATTTTATATGAGGTACTATTTAATAATGAAATAATAAGAATATTAATACATGCCTTGTGCTAATGACTGTATCTTTATAGTTATTACTGAACTTGAACCGTAAGTGGTGTGTGTTATTTGAAAGGGGCAAGTTATCTAGAGCTTTTGGAAAGCATGAACAGTGGTTAAAAATGCAATATGGCTTTGCTGAAGTAAAAAGATCTGCATGAGAGGGCAAGGTTTTATAATCAAGAACTGCATGTATTAATGATCTGCAAAAAATTATGCAAAAAAGATAAGGCAAGCACAGGCAGGAAATTCAGCATGCTGTTGGATGGGGATTATATGGTACAGACATCTGGAAATAAAAGATAATGTTATTTCCATTATAGATCAAATATTTCATCCTAATTAGATTTGCTGCTTTGGTGCATGGTATCTTAAAGCTGTATCTTAGATATCTAAGATATTGTAGCCTGATAACAGCTTCAGAAATCAGATTTGACAAGGGAGTTAAGAGAAAATAATACAGGCAAAACTTTTAGAACTGCATAATTTTATAATATTTTGAAAAGTTGACAGCTTTACTTTGTATTGCTTTATATCAATTCAAATATTTCATGGGTGAAAATGCAGAGGTATGAGCAACATACTAATTAAATGTGTCAATCTGTGTTTTGTTTCAGATGATATCACGAGTATGATACATATTAAAGCTCTGCCTTTCACAGAGGCAGTTTTAGTAAAGGGCTTGCACCTACAATTTAGGTAGAAGGTAACAGTAAAAATTTTAACTTAGAGAATTAGGGAGAAGATTATTTGATTAAGAAGCAGACTCAACATCATACAATGTTTATTTGTACCTTAGCCTGAAAATAATTAGCCCTAAATAATTTAGAATAAAGTATTATTAATTTTATCTTAAACATTACTGTTTATTGTGAAAAAGAAGTACAGTTTTGCAAATAGTTATTAACTTATTTTTAAAAGCAGTCCAAATATCACAAGAACTACAAATAAAATAGTCCAAGTTCTTAAGTGGTGTAGTTCTACATAAATCTGTACAATTTTGAGCTCCACTAACCTCACTGGTAATCTTATCTGTCCTGACTTGCTTTCAGAAAAATATTTTTTCTCACCCTAGAAGATCTCTCCAACAATTGCTTTCTGATGTTCTGCATCTAAGTGGGTCAAATAATGCAATATGTTGGAAACTTGTAGGTGCAATTAAGAGGGGCCAGTAAAAAATTATTTTTTGAGTGATTCCTTTAGCAATCAAGGAATTGATTGAGCTATGGATTTAATATTGTCCAGTTTCTGAATTCCAAAGGAAAATTTTAGTAGTAAGGTACAACAACACATTTTGTTGATGATTCTACATCTGAATTTTAATGTTCTACACGTACGTTAGAAAAAATGTATAAGAAACAGTAAGTCACCACCAAATAAATGTGATGAGATTAACAACCCAGAAAATACCATGGTAACAGGCAGAAAAAATTAACTGTATTTTAAAAGTCAATATTTGCATTACATCTCTTATAACTGAGGCTGTGTATCTTTGAAGTTGACTTTATTATTCAGACTGTATGTGTTTAATCATCTCAATATGCAAAATCAAAGTATTTTATCTGATGAGACGGCTACTGGATCTGCATGTTCTAGACTACTCATTGCTGGGATGCTTCTTACAGTTCAGGCATTGGAAACTGTGAAATATCTGCCCCATCAATACAGACCCTTGTTTGCCTTGACAAACTCAGTGTGAGTTCATTAAATACCACTTCTTAAACAGCAGAGGAGATGTTTCACTTCACATTTTGCCTGGAATAATTTATCCAGATTTTCTGAAGTATTAAGTAAACCATATTTTTAAAATTTATTATAAAACAAATATCTTTCCTATTTTAAAATTTATTTTGCAGACTGTAGCCTATTATTTGAAGAGGCCCTTAGCCCAGATCTGGTCTGTAGTTACAGGTGGCTGGAGATGGGGAGGCTGAAGAGGTGTTTTGCTCCAGCTGGCTGTTCTGCCTGACACACTCATGCAGACTGCTACCAAATGCCTCTCAACACTGCCGTCTGCAAAATTCCGGATACAATGTTATAGACACTGATTTCTAAATCAGACCATTTATTTCTCATTATTCTCATTTCAAGTTTTTGAAATGTGCTTAAAGAAGGGATGGACCAAAAGCTTTATCATTATCCTTATATGCTTTTAAATGTTTGCTCACAGGAATGCAGGTAAATTTTATTGTTCTCAGCAAAATACTGTATAGCTGAAAATTCTGGAATTGTTGATCTTGTATTGCCACAGCTTTCCTAATTTTGTGCTTGTATCTCTTTCTTTTGCACACAGACATGCATATATATATATATCATGTAGATAGCATTTGTGATGTGAGCTGGAAGCTAAATGAAAAAAAATCTGGAAATGTTATGAAATCCCATTATTTTTTGCCAATTTTGTTTTAATTTTATTCTGACCGACTCTAATACCATTTTCACCTTTCTGAAAGTATGGTCAGAATTACTTTCAAAACTTTAATATTGACCTGATGAATGGCATCAGGTACCAAGTTCTGACCTAAGAATGAAACTTGGAGAAGCGACACAAGACCTAATTCTGAAGTCATCACATTGAAGACTATTAAGACCTGTGTGGCTGAACTAGCTGTGCATTTGCTGGCAGATCTTCCTTAATTAGAAACCAGGACATCAAACTGGTCACTTTAAAACCAAAACAGGTATCCCATTTATTTTGGAGAGTTTTGCAGGCCTTTTTGAGGGATATTTCTGAGCACAGTCTCCAGATCTGTGCTACTGCATGAAGTGAAATATTTAAAGTAAATTAAAGGAAATTGTTTTAAAGTTACTCTCATAATTCATCAGTTTACAATCTAACTATGGTCCTTAAAACACTTCACAAAAGAGACAGAAAAGAAGGCACAACATATGTCACAAAATATTCTTGATCTTCAGTTGCAATGTTAATAAATTTGGGAATGAAATAAAAAAGGAAAACAAGGGAAAAATACCCATCTGAACCAGCTCAAGGGGTAGTCTTAGCCTGTCATAAATGTGCTAGTGTTTCACAGAATTTATATTGGGCATTAAATGAAATATTGTGACTAACACAGCTGTTTGGCAAATGACTTAAATGTTCAAATCTGAGTAATACATGAAAATTCCTGAGTTTCTTTAAAACTCAGCTTCAATATCTTTGCAGCTTCTTGGAAGAAAAGAGTTAGACAGCTCAGGCTGATTTTAGTTCTGAAGCAGCAACAGAGACAGAGAAGCAGAAATGCGGGCTTTGCTCTCTTCAGTTGGGAGGCACAGCCTCTGCTCTTGGCTTAAGGACCTTCTGGTCACTGTTTCTGGGCAGCTGCAGAGCACATGCCCAGGGCTTTAGGTTTGTCTGCTGCCCAGACAGAAAAACAAGTTGCTACTGAACTTAAATACAGTTCCTTCTACACTTCTGTCTTTCCCAAAGGCTATCCAAGAGGGGAGAAAATAAAATTTGTACCTTTTTTTGTGCTGTCTTAATTTTTGTACAGCTTGCCTACAGTAGCATCTTATTTAGGTGGGACAGGCTATTGACATACTTTTTGAACTGGGATAGATGGTGTTCTTTTTCTGCATCAAAATCTGGACTTATGAAGAAATTTTCTTTGTGGGAACAACATAAATATCACTAATGATAAAGTCACAGAAAGAAAAAAAATTATTAGAGGTCTTTGCTTCCTTTCTTGAATTCTGAAGACTTAAATTTCAATCAACATTTTCCACATTCGCTTCTACCATGATTTTTCTTCGGTGTGCGCCTTTTGTGGCATCATTTGTTACAGCCTTCTCTCTCCCTCTCTTTTTAAAACCATCCCTTCACTTTCCTCCTTTTTGTCTCCCAGATCATGAGTATCACAGTCCCTGGACAGGTTGGTGGGTTGACAGCTCTGAATATATTACACAACATATTTGTCTTTTCTAAAGCATTGATGCAAGCTTTTCCCTGACTTCTGCTGCAGTGAATTTTCCATACTGTTTGTCAGTGGTTTTTGTGACTGGCACCACTGAATTTTTGACCTTGGATTCCATCCATTCCATCCATAATTTAGAGAACATGCAGGTCTCATGGCTGAAGAAATTATTCTTGGCTGTTTTTTTCTCTAATGCATTTGTTTCCTTGGTACTTCTTATTTAGTAAAGAATAATACTTGAACTCATGAATGAGGAAGATTTCAGCACACATGCTAACAGAATATTATGTCTGTGCATAAGTGAGTAAAAACCCAGCACAGTGAAACCCATGTTTTCAGCAATGATGTTTATAGGTAGCTCCAACATATACAGTGGCTGTCTATATATAGACACTGAACAGCACGTAGAAATGACATGAAAAAATTGGGAGGTTTCGTCTCGCTGCATAAATAAGTTCAGTAAATCCAGGCCAAGCACAAGTGATTTCTTGTCAAATGCAGAATTAGTTCCTATGAATGCTGTGAGGAGGCTGTAACTAACATGCATTATTCTCTAAAACTGTGATCCTTTAATCAATAAATGGTAAAAACAATCTCAGAATATAAAAGAAATTGCACCGAATGAAGCTTGTGTGTATGCCTAATAAGAATGTGAGCATCTATACACACATATATAGCAAGAAAACCTCTGTAGTTGCGACAGTATTAGCAATATTTTCCCCACAATTTGTCAAATAAGCAGAAATGGAATTGGGGAATACAAAACACTTAGTCTCATTTGAATGCAAAGGTAGG